TGTCTGTCTGTCTGTCTGTCTGTCTGTCTGTCTGTCTGTCTGTCCAGTGGCAACTGTGCTGTCAAATAAAGGTACCAATAGGAGTTATGCTGATGGAAATCCGTCAAAAGGAGTGTAAGCCTTTCTGACCATCTTCCTACACATCCCACTAACAACATAAGGAGTGGCCTGGGGATAAAGTGCCTTAGAGCACCAGTTTAGGCACCTGGGAGAATGTGTCAATGTTAAATTCCTTGGATTGTGTCACATTAATTTCTTCCTGGTATAATAAGGGGAGGAGATTATTTTATACATTTTGTTGGAATGACTCAATAGACGAGACATAGATAAGATCTCTCCTGTTGACGGGGACTCAAGCGTTGGCCACTGTGATAGACACTCTATGGTTTTAGAGTAGATTTGTAGCTTGGGTCATGGATGTTGTGCTTGGTTGGCTCGTCAAGCTGGTTCGTTGTTTTTCCGCAGATGTTTCGTTACGCTGCTGGGTAACATCATCAGTGCAGCCTCCAATGAAGTGCTGTTGTGTTTTCCCGCCTGTTATTTAAACTCAGGAGTCTGTTGAGCTGGATTACCTCACTTCCGGTTTTCCTTCGCAATGGAGTGTGTATGGGGTCAAGTTCTATGTGTTTGTTGATGGCTTTCTTCGTGGAGTACCAGGCTTCTAGGAATTCCCGTGCTTGCCTCTGCTTTGCTTGTCCCAGGATCTTGGTGCTGTCCCAGTCAAATTGGTGGTTCTCCTTATCCATGTGGAGAGAGATGAGTGAGTATTGGTCATGATTTTTTGTAGCCAATTGATGTTCGTGTACTCTTGTTGTTAATTCCCTTCCTTTGTTTGTCCAATGTAGTGTTTGTCATAGTCTCAGCAGGGAATCTTGTATATGACATTGGTCCTGTCCATAGTGGGTAGTGGTTCTTTGGTTCGGGTGAGCAGTTGTCGTAGGGTTAATGTGGGTTTGTGTGCTACTCTGATGCCCAGGGGTTGTAGGAGTCTTGAAGAAGAATACCTCTTCCAAGTATTCAAAGACCATGGATACCCAAAAAACTGGGTCAGAAGATGCCTATTACAGCAATGACACCAGGAAGATACTACACGCCCCAACACACTCATCACGCTACCTTACATCAGGAACACATCGGAATTGACCACAAGACTCCTACAACCACTAGGCGTCAGAGTAGCACACAAACCCACATCAACCCTTCGCCAACTGCTCACCCGAACCAAAGACCCACTACCCACTATGGACAGGACCAATGTCAAATACAAGATTCCCTGCAAATACTGCGACAAACGCTACATTGGAAAAACAGGAAGGAAGTTAACAACAAGGGTACACGAACATCAATTGGTTACAAAAAGATACGACCAGTACTCGCTCATCTCTATCCACATGGATAAGGAGAACCACCAATTCGATTGGGACCACACCAAGATCCTGAACAAGCAAAGCAGAGACAAGCACGGGAGTTCCTAGTAGCTTGGTACTCCACTAAGAAAGCCATCAATAAACACATAGAGCTCAATATACACTCCACTACTAAGGATAACCAGAAATGAGGTAATCCAGCTCAATGGACTCCAGAGTTTAAATAACAGGCGGGAAAACACAACAGCACTTCATCGGAGGCTGCACAAATGGTGTTACCCAGCAGGGTAATGAAACATCTGCGAAACAACGAACCAGCTCTGTGAGCCAACCAGCCACAACTGTGATAGACAACAATAAATCCAAATGGAATGTCAGCAGAAATTCTTTTTCCCAATGAGGGAACATTTCAATAGTGAGGTTTCTTCTGGAGCTAAAATAGGCATTGAACTCAATCATGAGGGCTATTGACTGGGCCATCAATGCTACTGCTACAATTACAATGAGCTGACAGATAAATCTTGCAGCTAGATGAGAGACCAAGGACTCGGAGTACAGCAGGCTGTGCTGTCAATGGGTTAATTAGAGATTAGTTGTGCTCCATTGTGTGAGAAAGCAGTAGGGAATTATTTTCTCTATTTTCTGAATTTTTTTTTAAAATAACTGCACAGAGGCCAGTATCTTGTCACCAGATCACCCTATATTCACGCATGGCAAGTTCTTGACTCTGCTCTAGCTGTAAGTATCAGAATGTCTGGCATACCTCTTTTTTTTATCTGTCAGCCAGGGCTCCCTGATTAGACCAGATTGACAGTCCCAATCAGGGAACTCCTATTCTACCAGGACCACCCAGCTAACCTCATTACAATCACTACACTTTTTCTTCTTATTTTTCCTCTTCTTCCTCCATCCCTCTACATTAGGATGGAAAGGATCAGAGCGAAACAGAAGCACCAACTAATGGCGACACTAGTGCCAAAACCTGGTGAGACATCACACAGAATCAATCGGTTCGAAGCAGAGAATCAGGGAGTGTGTTCAGGTATGTCTCCTTTCTTTAGAGTATTTCAAGGTGAATAATTAACTCAATGGTCACAAATGGTACCAGCTTTTCCCGTGATATGGAGCAGAAATTTCCTCTGAGGGTAAAGAATCTGTGGAATTCATTAACACAGAAGGGTGTCGAGGCTGGATCATTTAGTATATTCAAGGCAGAAAGACAGATTTTTAATTAATAAGGCAATGGAGAGTTATAGAAAAAAAGACAAGAATGTTGAATTGAGGATTATCAAATCAGTGATGATCTCATTGAATGGTAGAACATAGTCGATGGGCCAAATGGCTTACTTTTGCACCCAATTCTGTGGCCACATAGAGACTACTCTAGCATGTTGGGAGAGGTAGCCCTATAACTATAGGCAGGGATCCTGCGCTTTTGGCTCCATATTAATCTCTGTGCCATGTGATTCATATTCTGCTGAGTTTCTGATTATGATTAACTGGTAAAAAATCTAGCAGAACCCATTCATAAATCTGGGGTTTGCTAAGTTTTAGCTCTTGTAACCCCATCCTAATTAAGACCATAAGACATAGCAGCAAAATTAGGCCATTCGGCCCATTAAGTTTGCTCCACCATTTGATCATGGTTGATATGTTTCTCAATCCCATTCTCCTGACTTCTCCCCATAATCCTTGATCCCCTTATTAATCAAGAACCTAGCTCTGTCTTAAATACACTCAATGATTTGGACTCTACAGATGTCTGTGGCAATGAGTTCCCCACATTCACCACCCTCTGACTGGAGAAATTCCTCCTTATCTCAGTCCTAAAGGGGTGTCATTTCACTTTGAGGCTGTGCCCTTGGTTCCTAGTCTCTCCTGCTAGTGGAAATATCTTCTCCTTGGCCACTCTATCCAGGGCTCTCAGTATTCTTTAAGTTTCAATCAGATCTTCCCTCATCGTTCTAAACCTCATTGAGTACGTACCTCAACTGCTCCTCAGCTGACGAGCCCTTCATTTCCGGGATCATTCTCTTAAACCTCCTGTGGACTCCCTCCAACATCAGTACATCATTCCTTAGATAGGGGGCTCAAAACTGCTCACAATATTACAAATTCATGGGAGGCAATAGCCTAGTGGTATTGTCGCTGGACTGGTAATCCAGAGACCCAGATAATGTTTTGGGGGCCTGGGTTTGAATCCCACCACAGCAGATGGTGGAATTTGAATTCAATAAATATCTGGAATTAACAATCTAATAATCTAAGGGTGGCACGGTGGCTCAGTGGTTAGCACTGCTGCCTCACAGCACCAGGGACCTGGGTTTGATCCCACCCTTGGGCGACTGTCTGTGTGGGTTTCCTCCGGGTGCTCCGGTTTCCTGCCACAGTCCAAAGATGTGCAGGTTAGGTGGATTGACCATGCTAAAAATTGCCGATAGTGTTCAAGGATGTGTAGATTAGGTGGGTTATAGGGGGATGGGTCTGGGTGGGATGCTGTGAGGGTCAGTGTGAACTTGTTGGGCCTAAGGGCCTGTTTCCACACTGCAGGGATTCTATTCTATGATCTATGATGACCATGAATTCATTGTCGATTGTTGGAAAAACTCATCTGGTTCATTAATGTCCTTTAGGGAAGGAAACTGCCATCCTTACCTCGTCTGGCCTACATGTGACTCCAGACCCGCTGCAATGTGGTTGACTCTGAACTGTCCTCTGAACAATTAGGGATGGGCAATAAATACTGCCTGGCCAGCGACACCCTCATCCTTTGTATGAATAAAATGCAGTCTGGCCACAGCAGAGCAGTACAACTCTGCTCTTGTATTCTAGCTCTGCTGAGATGAATGCTAACATTGCATTTGCTTTCCAAACTGCCGACTAAACCTGCATGTTAATCTTAAGAGAATTCTGAACTAGGATTCCTAAGTCACTTTGTGCTTCAGATTTTTGGAATCTTTCCTCATTTAGAGAATAGTCTGTGCTTCTATTCTTCCTACTGAAGTGCATAACCTCACACTTTGCCACATTGTATTCCACCTGCCAACTCTTTGCCTACTCAGCTAGCCTGTTCACATCCTTTTGCAGCCTACCCACTTCCTCAACACTGCCTGCCCCTCCACCTATCTTGGTGTCATCTGTAAACTTAGCAACAATGCCCTCGGTTCCTTCATCCAGGTTATTAATGTGTAACATGAATACATTAATGTTATACATGAATATGTGGCCCCAATACAGACCCCTGTGAAACTCCACTAGTCACCAGTTGCCATCCTGAATGAGACCCCTTTATCCCCACTCTCTGCCTTCTGCCAATCAGCCAGTCCTCTATCCATGCCAGTACCTTGCACCTAACACCATGGGCTCTTATATTATTTAGCAGCCTCCTGTAAGGCACCTTGTCAAAGGCTTTCTGGAAATCCAAATAGATCATGTCCACTGGCTCTCCCAGTCTAACTTGCTTGCTACCTCCGCAAAGAATTCAAACAGGTTTGTCTGGCATGACCTCCGCTTGACAAAGCCATGACTCAGCATTATTTTACTCTGCATTTCCAAGTACTCTTCAATCTCTTCCTTAATAATGGACTCAAATCTTACCAACTGAGGTCAGGATAACTGACTATAGTTTTCTGTCTTCTGCCTCCCTCTCTTCTTAAACAGGGATGTTATATTAGCCATTTTCTAGTCTTTTGGTACCCTCCCTGATGTCAGTTATTCCTGAAAGATCACCACCAATGCCTCTACAATCACCTCAGCTATCTCCTTCAGAACTCTGGGGTGTAGTCCATCTGGTCAGTGTGATTTATCCACCTTCAGACCATTCAACTTCCCCAGCACCTTCTCTTTAATGATAGGCACTGCACTTACCTCTGTCCCCCGACTCTCTCGAAACTCTGGGTATGCTGCTGGTGTCTTTACTGTGAAAATTGATGCAAAGTAGTTATTCAGTTCCTCCACCATTTCTTTGTTCTGCTTTACTTCTTCTCCAGCCTAGTTTTCCAGAGTCCAATGTCCACTTTTGCATCTTCTTAACTTTTAGATATCTAAAGAAAACTCTTGCAATCTTCTTTTATATTACTAGCCAGCTTGCCCTCCTATTTCATCGTCTGCCTGCTTATTGCTTTTGTAGTTGTTCTCTGTTGGTTTTTTAAAGGCTTCCCACCATCTTCTTTTGCTGTTATGCTATGCCTGACTTCCCTTGTCAGCCATGGTTGTCTCGTCCTCTCCTTCGTGTGTTTCTCCCTCCTCTGCTATGCCTCCCAAATTACCTCCAGAAACTCTGACCACTGCTGTTCTACTGTCTTCCCTGCTAGGCTCCTCTTCCAGCCAACACTGGCCAGTCCCTCCCTAATGTCTTTGCAGTTCCCTTTACTCAATTGTAATACCGTTACACCTGACTCAAGTTTCTCCTTCTCAAACTGCAGGGTGAATACTATCATATTATAGTCACTGTACCCTAGGGGGTTCCTTCACCTCAAGCTCCCTAATCAGGTCTGCCTCATTACATCTCCAAATCCAGAATTGTTTTTTCTCTAGAGGGCTTGTTCCAAAAAAAATCTTGTAGACATTCCGCAATCTCCTTTTTCTTGAGATCCACTACCCATCTGATTTTCCCAGTCATCTGCACACTGAAGTCCCCCATGATTATTGTAGGAGTGCCTTTCTTACATGCCTTTTCTATCTCCCAATTTATTTTCTTCCCCACATCGTGATTACTGCTAGGGGGGCTTGTACACGGTTCCCGTTAGGATTTTTGTCCTTTGCGGTTCCTCAACTCTACCCACAGAGTGTCTATGCCTTCCAACTCTATATCACTTCTGGCTATCGATTTATTTAATTTTCGACTAACAAGCCAACCCTGTCCCTTCTGCCCATCTGCCAGTGTATTATTGGGTAATTATTTTTCATGGAATCCCTACAGTATGGAAGCAGGCTATTCTACCCATCAAGTCAACACCGACCCTCCAAAGAGTGTGCCATCCAGATCCATTGCCCCTACCCTATCCCTGTAAACATCTATTTCCCATGGCTAATCCATCTAGTGTGCACATCCCTGGTCAATATGGTCAATTTAGTATGGCCAATCCACCTAACCTACACATCATTGGACTGTGGGAGGAAACTGGAGCACACGGAGGAAACCCATGTAGATGCGGGGAGAATGTGCAAACCCCACACAGATTTTATTCCCAGCCCTGATCCCCTTGCAGCCATATCTCTGTGAAACTCAGTCCATTGTACCTGCCAATTTCAATCTTTACTACAAAATGACTTATCTTGTTTTGTTTTGCTGTGTGCATTTAAGTATAACACCCACAGCCCTGCATTGACTGCCCCCTTTTCGTAGTTATCCCTTCATCTGCTGTGCTTGAAATTAGATTCTTGACCCTTTCCATACTCTGTCGTATAACTTGCTGTGGAAATTTTAATAACCTTTGCTGAGCCCTACACCCTCCTCTTTAAAGCTTCCTATAATTTTCCATGCAACTGAATCCAGCTCCCCCACTATTTAGTTTAAAGCCCTATCAACAGCCTAGTTATGTGATTCACCAGGACTCTGGTCCCAGCATGATTCAGGTGGAGTCCATCCCATCAGGACAACTTCCTCCTCCCCAGGAATGGTGCCAATGTTCCATGAATTCGAATCTATTTCTCCTACACCGATCTTAGAGCCATGCGTTTGCCTCTTTAATCTTGTGGGGAGGCAACGGCCTCGTGGTATTATCGCTGGACTGTTAATCCAGAGACCCAGGTAAAGCTCTGGGGATGTGGGTTTGAACTCATCAAGGCAGATGTTGAAATATAAATTCAATTTTTAAAAATATGAAACAATTTAATGATGACCGTGAATCCATTGTCGTTTGTTGGAAAAACCCATCTGGTTCACTAATGTCCTTCAGGGAAGGAAACTGCCATCCTTACCTGGCCTGGCCTGGCCTACGTGTGACTCCAGACCCACAGCAATGTGGTAGACACTTAACTACATTGTGAGATGGGCAATAAATCCTGGCTAACAAGCGAAAGCCTCATCCTATGAATGAACAAAAAGAAACTTATTGACCCTGTGCTAATTTCCTCATGGTTCAGGTGATAATCTGAAGATTATTACCTTTTTGGTTCTGCTTCTTAATTTAGCCCCTAGCTGCTCGCAGCAATGTGGTTGACTCTGAACTGCCCTCTGGGCAATTCGGGATGGGCAGTAAATGTTGCCTAGCCAGCGATGCCCTCATCCCGTTGATGAATAAAGAAAAAACAAATTCCCTCAGCTGAACCTCTTTCCTCTTTTTACCTATATTTTTGGTACCTACGACAACAACCTGATCTTCCCCCTCCCATTTGAAGTTACTCTGCAGCCAGATGAGATATCCTGAACCCAGGCACCAGGCAGATAACACAGTCTTTGGGTCTCCTGATCCTGGCTGCAGAAACCAGGTCTATTCCCTGACTGTACAATCTCTGATCACAACTACATTTCTCCTTTCTTACCCCTCTTCAATGGCTCCCCGTACCACAGTGCTATGGTCAGTTTGCTCATCCTCCCTACTGCCCCCACTCTCACCCACAGCACCACGTCCTGGATTCCTCTACCTATTTGCACATAGACACTTCCTTATTCCTGACCACTGACTGAATTTGAGGTCATTGATCTGAGGGGTGTGATTGCCTGCTGAAACATAGCATGTAGGTAACTCTCCCTCTCTCTGAAGTGTCACATGTTCGAAGCTCAGAGTCCAGTTCATCAACTCAGAGCTGGAATTCCTCGAACAACCAACACTTGCTACAGATATGGCCACTATGAACCACAATGGTGCCCACCAGCTCCCACGCTTTGCAGTTACAACATATTGCCCAGCCCTGACATCTCTATTTTGATTATTTAGTACTTAACTTGATTCTTAAAAATTTCGTACTGGTCTTTTAGCTTGTAGCCTGTAAACATTTCCCCTGTTGCCTTCAATCTGAAAATAACTCATTACTGCCAAATTAGTGGCTATTAGCAATCAATGAACTTATGGTTTACCTGTGATGTCACTCTTTTGAGCTAGGCTTCAATTTTATCCTGTTATATAAAAAAAAATACATACTATGAGCCAAAAACGTTAGCAAAAAGCATCTCTTCTTGTCTGCACCGAATTCCCACACTGCCTCTATTTTCTCCGAACTGTGTACTCGCTTGGGCTGTGTCTCACTCCAGATGTAATCTCTCCTTCCCAACCACATGTAGCCTACAGGCGATGTGTTTTCAATGGTTCCATTCTTCAGTAGAGCTGTGAGTTGACGTGACTCACACTAGCTAAGCTTCAATAGTAATGAAAGCCCTGTTCAGATGATTGATTGATAACTGTCCCACAGTGAGCTACCTTATTAACTTTTTTCACAAGACTACTGAATTTTGACCTTTTTGAAATGGAAAGAAAATCCAGATTTACCAGTTCTATTCCCATGCTGCCTCCAAAGTCGCCAAACTGTATACTTGCATGACCTGTGCCTCTTCCAGATGGAATCTCTCCTTCCTGACTTTGTGAAGCTTACTGTTGCAGTAGAAGATAGATCTGTATTCAGATAGTGCCTTCTGTAACCTGCAGGTGTGTGATGGAGAGTCGAGCAGAATGAAAGATCTCTGCAGCCTGTGTACATGGGAGAAGCTAAAATTTGGCCCTCTTTTTATTTTCTACCCCTGAGGTTTCTCTGAACAATTCTACACAACAGTCCATATCTAATAATTATTTCTTAATACCCATTTTCCTTGAGCCCAATGCGATCATGAGCCACAGTTTGGGAATCAATCTATTAGAACCCTCCTTATAAACAATTTCTGGGGGCCATTCTTCCAGACCCCTTGAAAGAGACTGCATTGGTTCAAACTATATTCACTGGAATTTAGAAGAATAAGGGAGAATCTCATGGAAACCTATAAAATTCTAACAGGACTGGACAGGGTATATGTAGGAAGGATGTTCCCGATGATCAGGGAGAGCAGAACTAGGGGTCACAGTTTAAGGATACAGGGTAAGCCATTTAAGACTGAGATGAGGAGAAATGTCTTCACCCAGAGAGTGGTGAGTTTGTGAATTCGCTACCACAGAAAGCAGTCAAAGTCAAAACATTGCATGTTTTCAAAGGGGAGTTAGATATAATTCTTGGGGTGAAAGGCATCAAGGGTGTGGGGGGCAAAGTGGGAACAGGGTAATGAGTGGGATGATAAGCCATGATCATATTGAATGGCAGAGCAGAAATAAGGGCCAAATGGCCTACTCCTGTTCCTACCTTCTATATTTCTGTATTCTTCATGAGATAGCCCAGCCAGAAGGCCCATCTGTTCCAGCTTCAGCCGGAGGATAGGTGACAAACTGAAAGTGAAGGTCCATGAATGGCCTGTAAGTAAATTTCAGTGCTGCACCTGCTCCGACTGCAAGGTGACCCCAGTTTGGCCAAATGAGAAATTAGTTGGGAATCTCGAGGTGGTTTTTATATTAGGCTGAATAGTAGTCCTTGCTGAATGGAGGGCAAAGCTAATTTATGACGTTTTTCAAGTTATTAAATTTGAACTGTTATTCTTACAGTGTTGTGATCTGTATTTGTGGTTGAACAGTGGGGCAACCAATAGGGCTCCCCAACGGAATTTGAAAAATAAAACATTTAGTATATTATTTTTATGCATGAGGATTTAATTTTTTGCATAATGCTATTTGGAGGAATAAGTGCTTCTGGCTTTTTTTATTGTTGCTAAGTGATTTGAATCAAGCATTCTTTCAGCTTCCAAAATATTGACCAGATACAGAAAAGAAACAGGTTTTTGTGGAAGGAATTCTACTCAGGAAAAATGTTGCATTAAAAAGCCACCCAGTTGATAGATCATTTGATGAGTGTTTCAAGCAGAGCCCATCCAGAGTAAGCACTCATTTAAACTTGCCTGCTCAATGGTATTTTGTTTTAATGTCAGTACATTAATGGGACATGTAATGTTGTTGGGTTCCGCAAGATTGGTTTTAACATTGATTTCTGTGCAACCCAATTAGCAATTCCCCTGCTCTCCAACCTTTGAGTTGCGGTCTCTCTTCGCCTGTCGACCCTCTGAGTTGCAGCCTGTTCACACTTCTCAGTCCTCCAGGTCGTGGCCTCCCTACAATCCGGACCCACTGTATTGTAGAATCTTCGCTGTCCCTGACTCTGACTTGTAACCTCAGAGGGTCAGAGAGCTGGGATTTTATGCAGAGACCAGGTGAATTGGGGGCACGAGGGTGAGAAGCAGGATGGCTAATGAGAAGGAGGCACATTTACTGTAAGGAGCAAGTTACTGTTTTCTTTCACATTTCACAACTTATTTTCAAAGTTACTTCACATTCAACAGGTGATTCAACAATATAAGATATTTCAACTTAAAGGGGATAATGTTTGAACATTTTTTTCTGATAAGGTCTTACAGAACCTGTTTTACCGTTGGTTCAAATGGGAGCTATGGGAACAGCCTGTCATTTCCTCCTTTGTTCTTTCTGATCTTCATGACTGTCTTTGCAAGGACAAGAGCTTGGGAAGTCTCACTGACCTCATGGAGGTGTACCATTTATATTACTTTCCCAGTAAAGACAAGCCAAGATTTATGCATCATTTTAAAATTTATTCATCGGATGTGGATGATGCTTGCAGGGTCACCAATTACAACTTTTCCTTAACTGCCCCTTGAGAAGGTGGTGGTGAGCTGCCTTCTTGAATCGCTGCAGTCCATGTGCTGAAGGTAGACCCACAATGCCCGTAGGAAAGTCCAGAATTTTGACCCAGCGACAGTGAAAGAACGGTGATATATTTCCAAGTCAGGACGGTGAGTGGCTTGGAGAGGAACTTGCAGGAGGTGTTGCACCCATGTATCAACTGCTGTTGTAAAAACAATGTAAATGGTGGAAATCCGGATAAAAACAGAAAGTGCTGGAGAAACTCAGCAGGTCTGGCAGCAGTTGTGGAGAGAGAAGCAGAGTTAATGTTTTGAGTCCGATATGACACTACTTCACTCTCTCTCTGTCCGCAGATGCTGACAGACCTGCTGAGTTTTTCCAGCATTCTCTGTGTTTGTATCTGCTGTCCTTGTCCTTCTAGAGGGCATGGGGTGAAGCAGCTCAACATCACAAGCAAAGTCCAGATCCCAGAGTAATGCCATGGGAGATCAGCTCATGTCAGTGGTACAATTGTGGGAGCTCTGAGCAGACTGCATTTACTTGCTGATCCATGTGTTTCTGAAAATTAATTTTCCACAGCTGATGGCAAAGACAGAGCAGAAGATGACAAGAAGAAGTGGTGGAAGCCCTGGGTAACTCATTCCTCAAGTACGTTACAAGGAGAAAAGGCTGTTTTTTTAATCACACTAACTGGATACTAAACTTCAACATCAGAAATATGTCTCCATTGCATGTGCATCCTGATGTGCTATAAGGATCCCGCAGCATGTATAACCCCCAGCAATCACCATAGACATGCATGACCTGCAATATTCACCAGAGGCATGCAGAGGGGAAGGTGGTGGCAGCTTGTGATGGCACTGGACTGTTAATCCAGAGCTCAACTAATGCTCTGGAGATAAGGGTTCAAACCCCAACATGGTAGGTGGTGAAATCTGAATTAATTAAAAATCACAAGGAGGAGGATAAAAATGCTAATCTAATGGTGACCATGTAACCCTGCCAGTTGTCATAACTGCCTGTTTTTCATTTGCTGCTGTAGTGATTCACAGTGGGGACTATTATCTGTTTGACACTGACAGTGAGGATGAAGCTAAGGATGAAACTGGAACAGTTGAAGATGAAACAGTAAAAACCTCAGCATTCCAGGTGTGTCAGTACTGAGGGGACCACAAGCAATATTCTGTTCTGGCAAGTCCTGAGACTTAATGCTACACTGCATTACGATCCATCACCTCGATACTCACCCACTCGTCTACACCTCCGTTACACTACACTCACCCATTTATGATTAATTTCCTTTCGCTGACATTTGAACAGATTCTGATGATTTCATTAAGCCGTAAAAACAGAATTGAGTATCAGTTAATTTGAATATAATTCCCTGATAAGTCTATAACCGTTTTGGTGTTGTTGTGTTTGATTAAGCTTGTCTGATGATGGATTCTCCCACAGTGCTTGATTGCTTGGAGTCAATCACATGACCCATTAGCTCCACCCACCGGTTAAAGCAATGTCTCAAGAAAGACTACTTATTAAGATTGCTCAGAGATAGTAAGAACTGCCGATGCTGGAGTCAGAGATA